TGTCACCTGCTCCCTTTGCTTGCTGACAGGTGGCTGTGTCTGACAACGGAGAGCCAGCGCTGAAGTCCACCAGCAGAGTCGTGATCCAAGTCCTGGATGCCAATGACAGCCCTCCCAGTTTCCCCCACAAGCTGTTCATGGTGCAGCTCCCCGAGAGGGAGGCCTCGGAGACCCCACTGCCGGTCTACAGGCTGATCGCTTCCGACCGTGACCAGGGCCAGAACAGCCAGATCACCTACACCATCGAGGAGGAGGAGGACGGCATATTCACCATCAACCCCACAACTGGCACAGTCTTCTCCAGGAAAGCTTTCCCTGCCTCTGAATACAACATACTCACGGTGAGAGGAGAGGGAAACACAAAGAGCTGATGGGAAGAGACGGGCAGAAAGGGAAAGAGAGAGAAGGGTTAAGAAACAGAAAAGATACAAGGAAAGAGATGGAGAAAATGCAGCAGTGGGGAGGAAGAGAGCTTGAATAAGGCAAATGTGTTAAGAGGGAGAGAAAGTGGGAAGGAATTATAGGAAATGCAGAAGGTAGGAAGCTATTGAAAATGGACAATAAGTTTAAAATTAACTGTCCAACCTACCTTCAGAGAGGAATACAGTGATCCATGATCCCATATGGATGTGGACTCAAACCTGAACAGTCTTTGGGTTCCATCATGCCTCTGTATGGCATTCTGATCTGGCCATGGAGCTTAGATGTAGATTCAAATCCTTCCCACAGTCTGTGTGTCTTTGCAGTGAGGCTTGTAATCCAAGTCTCTGCTATGGATGGAGCTTGGCAGATTTACTTGACTGCAAAGAGGAATTTAGGTTGCATGGCTCTGCCTTGGAAGCAGCCAGAGCGTGGACCACTGGCTCAAGATTTGTTTAATGGGATCTTTGGGCACACTGGGAGCTGAAACTTCTGGTGGGTGGGAGAAGGAGCTTTCCATGGAATTCCCATGAGCTAACTGAGCTTTCTCCCTGAGTGCATGTGCCTTTCTCTGCAGGTCAAGGCCACAGACGGCGGCAGCCCCCCGCTCTCCTCCCACGTGAGACTTCACATCAGCTGGGTCGCCCGGCCCGGCCCTTCCTCAGAACCACTGGCTTTTGATGAACCCCACTTCAACTTCGCCGTGATGGAAACAGATCCTGTGAACCACATGGTGGGAGTGATCAGCATGGAGATGGGCCCCAGCCAAGTGTGGTTTAATATCACAGGTGAGGCACAGAAATTAGAGCAGGGCAGCGGTGTCTGGGAGCGTTTGGCTCCCTTGGCTTTCAGCACTCTCGCATGCCTGAGCTAATGGAGTTGTTTGCTTTAGGTGTAGGTGAGCTATGGGGAAAGCTTTCTCACAGGCACCGGAAGGTTTAAACAGCCATTAGACAAAGCTGCCCATCCAAGGCTGCCAGTGCCAAGTGCAATTACCCAACACAGTTTTTTAATGACAATCTGGAACTTGCCTGTGTTTGAGGTGTTCTCTGATGTCACACGAGAGGCAGGGCATGCCAGTGCCAGATCCTCCTGGGAATCAGGTGACACTGTTGGTTTTGTTAAAACTGCCTGCAAGGATCCAGGTGTGTGGCTGAGGGTTACAGATACCCTTCATATCTCCCCCCACGTTGAGTCTTGAGCAGGGAGTTGAGAAGGAAGCATTCCTCAAAGACCTAGTCTGCCCTAACTTGTGGGGCTCTCCCTTCCTCCTCACCACATCCCAGGGGTGATTTAGACATGGAATGTGGAACTCTAGGGCCTCCTCTAAGACACACGATTCAGAGGGGGTGTGGGCTGTCACCCCAGGGGATTCTCCAGGCAGTGTGTGCAGAACTGGTCCTACCAACGAGGGCCAATTGTGCTCGTGTAATTTGATGTTTTGAAGTGGTGCCCCAATCTACCTTGCACAGCCTTTCCCTGGTACTGCCTGCAGGGCCTGCCCTTGTCAGACAAAGCCTTAATTGGGCAAGTCAATAGTTTTTCTCCTTACTGTGTTAGGGCATGGATAATGGTGTATAAATACAATTAAGCAACAAGAGATACAACACTACAAGGAGCAAGACAATATCTGTGAAAGGTTTATCTGGCATTAGTAGTGTCTGCTTGGGTCTGCAGAACGAACGGTGTATTCCTCTGAATGTTATCCCATCATTTCCCTGCTGAGTGCTGGAGCATAGCTTGACTTCATCTTTCCCAGTTCCTAGAGCTCCAAGAGATGCTGAAGGCTCTCTTGGTTTCTATCCTGGTGGAAAAGGGCAGGATTTTATTTTCCCTGCAAGGGAAGGAAGGCATCATGACAGCTGGTGGCCAGGGGGGTGATGCAGAGATCCAGGAGCCTTTGGCAGCTCATTCAGGGTTTCACCTTTCCCACACCACAAACACTCTGTCACTGGGATTGATGGAGTCTACAAAATCTCAGACAAAGCAACAGTGTTCTTCATCTCTTTCCTTTTCTGGGCTTCTTCTTTCCATTTGGCACTGTGCACAGTGGGTCTCTGATCCATGGGTCTCTCTCCCTCTGTCTCTGCATCTTTCTGTCTCCTTCCCAGCAGGAGAGCACTGGTACAGATGGCTGGTGAGCACTGCATTCCTCCAGCAAGGGAAGATATGTCATTTTACAATCAGCAGAGATTTTACCGGCTGGTAATAGAATAAAGCAGAATCCAGAGCATCTAGTAGCCAGGGAGAAAGAAGTTGAGACCTGGGATAAATTACAGGAAGCTATTTCAGCTTCTTCATATCTCAGAGCAGCTTTGCAGGGTTTAATGTGCAAGAGGAGCCAAATAGGCCCCAGCGAGTGAGGCATGAGAAAGGAGCTGCCATGCCAGGGCTGAGCAGCAGTAGGGTGAGGGACAGCTTTCTGCTGCTGAGCTGCTCAGGCCTGTTGTTCCTGGCAATTCTCAGCCATCTGGGTTGGAGGCAACAGGCTCTGCTCACCCTGGAAGCACCGTCTGCCTCCCCAACTGTTGAGTGTTGGGAATTCAGGTAGCTCCCAGGCTCCCAGGCGTGGTGATGAGGACCACTGCTGATATGCCCACAGTGTGACCTTGAATCAGAAGCCAGCAAGAGCCCTTCTTGTTGCAAGGCAAGAGCCTTCTACCCAGCAGGTCCCTGATCCATGCTAAGCCAGTGATGGTGCATGGCTGGAAACCAAATGTGCTGAATTGTGCCTGTTGCCAAGCTAGCCAGGACATCACATGCATAAGTGCTTCCTTTCCCCTTCTCTCCTCCTCCTCGTTTTCTCTAATTCCCCTCACCTTCCTTTTCACACTACTTTGTCACCATCTGTGACTATCTCTTTGTCCAGCTTTGCCTTGTCCTCCCTATCTCCTGTGTCCATCTATCTATATCTATCTATCTATCTATCTATCTATCTATCTATCTATCTACCTATCTGTCTATCTATCTACTATCTCATGTGGTTTTGAGTTTCCAGGTTTGGGAGAGGCCTTACCTGTGGCTCTGTCCCCAATCTAGCTGATGTAACTGCCCTCCTGTTGCCCTTTTCTGTGTCCCCCTTGTCCCAGGTGGTGATGATGACATGGATTTTGACATTGAAAAGAGTACAGGCAGCATGGTCATTGCAAGACCCCTGGATGCGAGGAAGAAGTCAAACTATAACCTGACAGTAGAAGTCACTGATGGGTCCAGTACAATCAAAACCCAGGTAATTTTTTTTTCTTTAGTGGGGACTCCATGGAAAGGGAGCATATGCCAAAGCTGAGTCTGTTGAGCTCTGGATCAGGTGCCAGGCACAGGAATCTCCTTACACTGTGATCCTCCATTACACAATTACCCTTGCACCAAGCTAAGACTGTTTATATGTTGCTGGAATCACAGCTGGTCCAGGAAAGCCTAGATCTTTCCCATTGATCCCAGGCAGCACACACGGACACATCTACACCACCAGCCAAGCTGGGGTGGTAGTTCACACACTCAGAACTCAACTTGGTCTCAGCAGCTCAGGATGATTTACAGCACATCTGGGACAGCATCTTAAGGGAAGTGTGTACACAGTTAGGTCAGGCTTGGGTCCGTGTTCCCATGCCAAGGGTTGTTCCTGGGATATGCTAGCCCAGGTACAACCTGCGCAAATCCATCTGCAAGAGGTGAGGTCAGACCCAGGGAGTGAGTGGAGCAACTGCAGAGATGCTGTGTGCTCTGAGTTGCCTAATATAAAGTAAGTGCTGGTAAAAGGAGGCATTTCACTGTCAAGCATGTCCCTGAGCCCCAGCTAAAATGATGAGATTTTGTCCATCTTTACCTACCCTGAGGAGGGGTGTTCAGGACATGCTCTTTCACTAGTCATTCTCTCCACACATAAGAAGCAGCCAAAAATCCAGCCCTCGATGCACAGGAAGACCTAGGATGTGAGTCACCTGTCAGTAATGCTTATCGTGGGAAATTCACTGTGGGGGGTGATGAGTGAGGAACTGCAGCATTCCTGTGAAACGTGGTGCTAACCGATGACCACTTGTCTCAGCTATCTTCCAGTATTGCTCCAAATAAACAAACAAAGCCCCACCTTGCCTAGTGTGCATTCCCTGCCACCTTGCATCTCATCCCTACGTTTATTTTGGCACTCAAGGCTGCTAGCAGATGTCAAGAAACCTGCTTGTGTAAAACCCCCATGGCATGCTCAGGTTTGCTAAAGGAAGCAAATTATTACACTTGGTTGGGACTTCCTAAGATGCCGGAAGCACATCAGTAGGAGGGTCAGGACAGCCAGGGTAGGAGACCACAGAGGAGAAAGCAGTGACTTCTCCAGCAGGATTCAGGATTCCCAATGTGTGCTGTTAAATGCAGAGAGCAATAACAAAACACCAAACTTGTCTAAAAACGGGTAGAAGAGAAATTTTGCTTCTCCACACACTTGCTGCTCTTGAGATTGGCCAGCCTCTCCCTTCTTTTACCAAACATACCCTTCTGTCAGCTTTCTGTTGAGTAAATAACAGGGCACCGTTGCCTGTGTTGGCACCAGCCAGCAGCAAAGCTGGCACCACGGCTGAGCTGCTGCTGCTTTCCATGACAGGCTGTGACTGTGTCCCCATGTGCCAAGTGCAGGCACGTTCACTCTGAATGCCTTGCCAGACTGGAGAGATTTTTAAAAAGGAGAGGAAGCAAACTGAAAAACACTGAAGGGGAAGGAACAGCAGGAGTTCCTTGGGATGAAGGACAGAAGGCTCCCAGTCATCACGGATGGCAAAGGTCCAAGAGTTAGAAAACTGTGATGGTTATGGCACTCAGAGTATGTCAACACCCAAGAAGGATTGGTAGCTGAGATTTTACATGGCTGCATGTCCAGTTGCTGCCCTCACTATGCTGTCTCCCCCACAGGCATTTATCCATGTGATTGACATCAACCAGCACCGTCCCCAGTTTCTTGAGAGTCACTACGAGGTGAGGATTCCTGAAGATACCCCTTCAGGGAGAGAAATCCTTCGAGTTAGTGCAACAGACAAGGACAAAGGAAAGGGGCTCATCTACACCATCCATGGCAGTGTGGACCCCAAAAGCACAAGACTTTTCCAGTTGGATCCAGGCAATGGAGCCCTCACAACAGCAGAAGGCTTCAGTTCCCAGCCCATGCCTCAGCACACCCTCACAGTGATGGTGAGTCCTGTCCAAGCCCTGCTGAGTCCACCAGCTTGCCTGGGATATATGGGTCACTGGAGAAATTAAAAGTGGGTCTAGCCTTTGAGGGAGGATTTGCCTGGAACAATAGGGGAAAGGAAAAGTAGGGTGTTAACCTTTACTATATGGCTAAGTGTAGTTAACAGCCTGCATTCCTCAACCACCTTCTCTGGAGGGCCACTGGGTTCCTATGAAAGAAAACACAGTGTGTAATAGTTAATGTTAGGTTTCAAATTCACGGCTGAGCTTTGGTGCTGAAACTTCCAGGCTCATTCCCAGCCAAGGGGTTGGTACCATTGCAAAACACCCAACTCTTACAGAGTGCTGATGAGTTACTTGGAGGATGGTGCAGACAAGACTGGCACATCCTTGGGTGTGACTGTTCCTGCTCTCTTTCTGCCATTCAGGTGCGAGACCAGGAGGTTCCCATCAAGCGGAACTTTGTCCGAGTCATCGTCCATGTGGACAGCTGCAACCTTCACCCTCCCCAGTTCAGCAGCATCCATTACGAAGCAGAAGTGCTGGACTCGGCAGTGGTGGGCACAGAGATCATACAAGTCAGAGCCCTTGATCAGGATCAGGGAGCTAATGCTGAAATCCACTACGCCCTTCAGGCAGGTGAGAGCCATGCAACAAGAAGTTTAGGTTTTGATCATACCTGCATTATCATGCTCTAACTGGTGGCCACTTGATCAGCTTTGTCTAGCTGTTGCAAAGAACAGAAAATGACTGCACAGCTCTAAAAATGTGATTTTCTTCCTACCCAGAAAAAATCCAGAGTGAGTAGGTAATTTCCATATTATGGAATATTAGCATCTTTTCTTAAGAAGACAGCTTAATGTTGAGTCACCGGTCTAAGAAAAATAGTGACTGGACAAGTTAGAACAACCTAAAATCTGCTCCTCTTTGTCCATGGGAACTATTCAGTTGTTAGGCAAAAGTACTCCCAATTCCCACAGGAGTCATCATTATTCTACTATTTTTACCAAGAAACACATCCTCAAGAAATGGTGAGAACCCTCTCAGCATTGACTGGTGGTGGTTTTGAGTCATTCATGCTCAGTGGGCAAATATTTTATCATTCTATAAAGGTTAAAACCTAAGTATTTATGTCTATGCCACACAGCCTATTTAGCCTGTAAACTCTTCGCAGGAGACAAGCCATTCTTTGCTCCATCTTTCTCACTGCAATTTAGATCAAGGACTGAGAAATTTAATTGCTCCTGAAGTATTGGTAATTACAAGCATGACAGGGCTTGAAGGAACCAGTACTGTCTGTGCTACCATGTTCTGCACACGAGGCAAAAGCTTCAAGCACATGCTCTGCCACCACTAAATATGCTTAAATTAGAAGGGTGTTTATCTCCAATTTACATTTTGATTGATTCAAATGTTAGCTCACAGATCTCAATGGGTTCATTGTTCTTACAATTAAAATTATTTAGAAATTAATTAATTTCTCCCAGTAAAAGAAACAGATGTTAATCAGATCTGCAGTCAGGAGAATCTATGAAAAAGAGTTTCAGAAAACAAAGATCAATAACGTGTCTGCATTCTTCACTCTGTAATTTCTTTTCTTGCAGGAAATGGGGAAGGCTTCTTTAACATCAACCCATATTCTGGAATTATTACAGTTGCCCAGAAGCTGGACCCATCCAGGCAGGAACGATTTACTCTTATTGTCAAGGCAGAAGATCAGGGGTTTCCTCAGCTTAAAGATTCTGCTACAGTACATGTCCACATTAGACCCTCGGATCGAACCCCTCCAAAATTTTCAGAGGCTGAATACATCACAGAGATCAGTGAATCCACTGCTATTGGCTCTCCTCTGATCCAGGTTTCAGCCACAAGCTTATCACCAGTCAGTTATGAAATAAGAGATGGAAATGGTGATGGAGTATTCTCCATGAACTATCAGTCAGGCCTTATTTCCACTCAGAAGAACTTAGATTTTGAGCAGGTGTCTTTTTACCAGTTGAAAGTGCGTGGTACCAACATGGCTGGAGCATTTATGGACGCAGTGGTGCTCATCTATGTCATAGATGAGAATGACAATGTGCCTGTCTTCGTTAAGTCTTCCTTCGTTGGCTGGATCATGGAGAATGCCCCATCACAAAGCATGGTTCTGGATGAAAGCAACGCTCCCCTCGTGACCTATGCAACAGATGCTGATCAGGACTCCAATGCTTTGCTTGTCTATGAGATTTTGGAACCGGAGGCACTGAAATATTTCACAGTGGATCCCAGCACAGGGACACTGACCAGTCGTGCTGATATAGACTATGAGCTCACGCCAGTTTTCCACTTCAGTGTACATGTGCACGACAGTGGAAGTCCCAGCTTGTTCGCATCCAAGCCTGCCAAGGTCACAATCCATGTGAAAGATGTCAATGATTCACCTCCAGTCTTTCTCAGAGACACTTACGACATTTCCATCTTGCTACCTGCCCACCCAGGGATGGAGCTTTTGTCAGTGCAGGCAAAAGATGCAGATTCAGAGGTGACCTACAGCATCGCAGAAGGAAACCTTGATAATGCTTTCCACATCCATCCACTAACAGGTCTCATCTCCATTCTTAACACTACCAGCCTGAGGAGCTACCGAGAGCTCACAGTCAGAGCTGGTGATGGCTTATATAAGAGTACTGCCCTGGTTAAGCTAAATTTAACTCGAGCACAAGGTACCAGCTTGAAATTTGATCAAGATGTATATACAGCAACTGTGAAGGAGAATTCTACAGATGAGAAGACTCTAACCATTCTTGGGGTCAAGGGATATCAGCTAAATGAACCCCTTTCCTATTCACTTTTGAATGAAAAGGAAAGGTTCAAAATGATCCAAGCCTCTGGAGTTCTTCAGACCAAGGGTGTGAAATTTGACCGTGAAATGCAAGACATGCATGAGGTAGCTGTGGAAGTGAAGGACAACAGGAAGCCACCAAGAGTGTCCCAAGCCACAGTCAGAGTTTATGTAGAGGATGTCAATGACAACCCCCCACAGTTTGAGAATCTGCCATACTATGCCTCAGTGCAGGATGGCACAGAGCCAGGGGATGTCCTTTTTCAGGTGTCAGCAACAGACAAAGACATAGGGGATAACGGAGCAGTTACCTACTCATTTGCAGAGGAATACAAATACTTTTGGATTGACCCTTACCTAGGAGACATCTCTCTTAAGAGGCCTCTTGATTATCAAGCTTTAAATAAATACAACCTCCGGGTCATTGCTAAGGACAAAGGAGAGCCTCCCCTGCTCGCTGAAGAGGAGGTTGTGATCAGTGTGAGGAACAGATCCAACCCTCTGTTCCAAAGTTTGTACTACCGAGTGAAGGTGCCAGAAAATGTCCCCCCATACACATCTATTCTCCACATCCAGGCCCGCAGCCCTGAAGGCTTGCGCCTCATCTACAACATTGTGGAAGAAGATTACCTGAAACTCTTCAACACTGACTTCAAAACTGGTGTCCTCACTGTCACAGGGCAGCTGGACTATGAGCTAGAGACAAAACACACATTCACTGTTAGAGCCACAGACACAGCACTGGGATCCTTCTCAGAAGCCAGAGTAGAGGTGGAGGTAGAGGACATTAATGACAACCCTCCCGTATTTTCTCAGATCATTTACACAGCATCTGTCTCGGAGAGTTTGCCACCACAGACCCCTGTTGTCCATCTCTTTGCCTCTGATAAGGATTCGGGCAGAAACAAAATGGTTTCCTATCAGATCATGGATGATGGTTCAGATGCTGCCAAGTTCTTTAATATTGATGCCAGCACAGGGCAAATAACAACAGCTCAAGCACTTGATTACGAAACAAATCAGCAGTTCCGCATGAAAGTCAGAGCTGCGGATCATGGGGTGCCTCCACTCAGTAGCGATGCCCTGGTAATCATAGATGTGACAGACATCAATGACAATCCCCCTGAGTTCAGCCAGCTTCAGTATGAAGCCAAGGTCAGTGAAATGGCTACGTGTGGGCACATTGTGATCAAAGTCCAGGCCCTGGACCCCGACAGTGGAGACACCACCCGGCTGGAATACGTGATTCTCTCGGGTAATGACAACAGGCATTTTGCCATCAACAGCACTTCTGGAATAATATCCATGTTCAACCGCTGCAAAAAGGACTTGGAGCCATCTTACAAACTCAGAGTTTCTGCTTCGGATGGAGTTTTCAAGAGCACTGTGCCTGTGTATATCAACACCACAAATGCCAACAAATACAGCCCCTCTTTTCAGCAGAACGTGTACGAGGCAGAGCTGGCAGAAAATGCTGAGATAGGAACCAAAGTGATTGAGCTGCTGGCTATTGACCCAGATGGTGGTCCATATGGCACCATAGACTACACCATCATAAATAAACTGGCCCATGAGAAGTTCTCCATAGACAATAAAGGCTGTATTTCGACACTGCAAAAACTGGACAGGGAGAATTCCACAGAGAGAGTCATTGCCATTAAAGTCATGGCCAAGGATGGGGGTGGGAAAGTGGCCTTCTGCACTGTCAAAATAATCCTTACAGATGAGAATGACAACCCACCTCTTTTCAAAGCCTCTGAATACACACTCTCCATCCAGTCCAATGTCAGCAAAGGCTCCCCTGTCATCCAGGTACTGGCTTATGATGCTGATGAAGGTGCAAATGCAGATGTCATTTACTCTGTTGACTCTGTGGAAGATGTGGCAGAAGACCTTGTGGAGATTAATGCTGCCACTGGGGTTGTTAAGGTCAAGGAGAGCCTTATTGGTTTAGAAAACAGAGCCTTTAACTTCAAGGTGAAAGCTGAAGATGGCAGACCCCCTCACTGGAACTCCCTTGTTCCAGTAAATCTGCAGATTGTCCCCAGGGAGGTGACATTGCCAAGGTTTTCTGAGCCCCTTTATACATTCTCTGCATCCGAGGATCTTCCAGAGGGGTCAGAAATAGGGTCAGTGAAAGCTTTTGCAGAGGATCCCATTATATACAGCCTGGTGAAGGGAACCACTACAGAAAGTAACAAGGACGAGGTGTTCACACTGGATGAACAAACAGGGGCTTTGAAAATCAAAAAACCCATTGATCATGAGACCACCAAGTGGTACCAGGTTGATGTCATGGCTCACTGCTCACATCTGGAGACAGAGCTGGTCTCTCTGGTCTCTGTGAATATCCAAGTGCAGGATGTGAATGACAACAGACCTGTTTTTGAGGCAGATCCCTACAGAGCTTTTGTCATGGAGAACATGCCTTCAGGAACCACAGTCATTCAAGTGACAGCTAATGACCAGGACATGGGAAGTGATGGGCAGGTGACCTACAGTCTGGAAGCAGAATCTGGCAACCTCCGCGGGCTCTTCACCATTGACGGTGAGAGCGGGTGGATCACCACACTGAAAGAACTGGACTGCGAAGACCAGGAGATCTATCGCTTTTATGTGGTGGCCACTGACCACGGCAGGAAGGTCCAGCTCTCTTCCCAAACCCTGGTGGAGGTCACTGTCTCTGATGAAAATGACAATGCCCCACAGTTCACCTCAGATTTCTACAAGGGGTCGGTCACTGAGAACGCAGAGCCGGGGCAGGTCATTGTCACCCTGAGCACCATCGACGCGGACATCTCCGAGCAGAACCGGCGGGTCACGTGCTACATCACCGGTGAGTTTTTCCTGGCTTTGAATCTCCAGTGGGCAAGAAGAGAGTATCATCTCAAAGTAAGGATTTGATACCTTGTCTTACAGATTATTAGTACAGAAATAATGTTATACTGACTGTCCTGTCAGAAGCAGGAGATGAAGGCTGAGCTCTGTCATGAGCTGGACTCAGGTGAATCTGGGGAATACAAAACCTTTCAGTAACTGCAGTGGGTGGAATGATCATTAAAATAATTATCTCACCACTGAATCGTCCTGTTTCTCTGGGAATAAATAAATAAATAAGATACATGTAAGTAATTACACTGTACTGTAGAAATATTTATTTACACTTTCTTAACAGAGGAATAATTAAGACAGTGTAATTGTAATATCTCTTGGAAGGACAGGAGGGGCAGTACAGCAAGAAGGAAGATTTTTCTCACACAGATACTGTGATCTGTATTTAAGTTCTTTGACCCAGCTTTTTCTCCTGCCAGCACTGCAGTCAGTTTACACATCTATAATACACCTGTAGCCTGTCTTTTTTTTAATAACTATATATAACTTTTTGGTGTTACATATGTTTCCTACAAAACCACTTGGAGGCTGGCTTAATAACAAGTTAGTCACTCTGCACTAGGGGATATTTAAGACTGTCACATCAATTTTAGTAAAGGCTTTGGCTAACAAAAGATACAAAAAATTGCTCTTGCATCCCTGAAACATCACATGTGCCAACTGAAATTAACCACTGCTGTAAAATTACAAAAAAGTTACACTGGAATGTTTGTTGTGCATCTGCACAAGTAGAAGCTTGCTTTTATGGTATTTTTTGACCCTAAAGGGTCTTTCTAAGACCTGGAGCAGATACTTCAAATTAAAATGTTTGTTCAGACTCAAATGAGGATCCTTCAGGGTCAAAACATTAGGCCAGATCGTGCTGCAGCCTGTTATCTATTATTGTAACCATCCAAAACAGGGGAGGAATGCTGGTATTTTCATTTGGTTTATGGCATGCCTAAGTATTCGCAAGCCTTTGGGAGGAAAGATTTAACCATTATATATTTACGTTTCTGCCATCTTAAAGGTAGTAGTAACTTCCAAATACTTTAAACCTGAAAGGATGTGCACTTATTTTAGGGATGAACACCTTGTGCTCTCTGCTCTGCATGTACAAACACAGCTCAAACTCTACAAATAAACATGGAAATGCAGCAAAAGGGAGGATTAGGTGAATACAGAGCCCAGCTTCCCCTGTCCACATTGATTTCAAACACACAGAAACTAAATCTGGGAATGGGCTGGTGTTTCCCAGCATCAGAAGAAGAGCTAGTACATTGTGCCTCCACAACCTCATCAGCACAGCACCAATGAAAACAGGAAGAGAGTGCATTTAATTTATCCCTCTGTGCGAGACCCTTCAGAGTCCAACACAGTTACCACAACCAGCTCTTCTCACTGACTCCCATTGCCTGATGTGCTTCCTCCTGGGTCAGCAGAGAACACCAGCTCCTTCTCAGGAGAGAGGGATTCTCCAGTGGCAGCATCCAGCCTGTTTAGAATCCAACATATGTAACAACAGTAGGAGCAGCATGAATCTGGTGGACCAGAGAGCCTGCCTAGTCTGGATTTGCCTGTCTCTCATCATTTGGCTCTTACAGAAACAAAAAGTAGCCCCAGAAAACAAAGCTGTATGTTAAATACCTCTATAGGTGAAGAGGAAGTACAGCTGTACATGGTACCATAACAGTAAGATTCAAACCATGTCTGCAGGGTATTTACAGCTCTCGGATCCCTTTAGAAACATGCACCAAGAAAGACTGTCAGGCTTTGGGAAGGTGAAACAACGTGGTTTTGAGGCAATGAATATGCACATCTGCAGAACGTTACTGACTTTTCTGCAATCAGTTGTTTCCTCCTTCCACTGTAATGTGCAGACAGGGAGTAACTAAAACGTGCAGGGTAATTCCCAGCTGTGCAGTGAGGCTGACCAAAAGCTCCTCACCTGCTGGATGAAACACCAGTGCCCTCTCTGCACCACCAGTGTGTCAGAGTCATAGAATCATTTAGGTTGGAAAAGACCTCTGAGAGCATCCAGGTCCTTCAGGTCTCCTAAGGAACCACCCATATGGGTGGTGGACACACCCATATGCCCTTTCTATACATACGCCCTATGTATCACTTCTGATTTTCAGCACTTAGTAAATACTTTTTGTACTTGCTTCCTGCCCCCTTTCTAGAAGGAGATGTACTGGGACAGTTCACAGTTGATCAAATTGAGGGTGAATGGACAATTTCTTCCAAGAAGCCTCTGGACAGAGAAGATACTGAGAAATACCTCCTCAAGGTTATGGCCTCTGATGGGAAATTTCAGGCTAGCACCGAAGTGGAAATTTTTGTACTGGATATTAATGACAACAGCCCTGAGTGTGGCCAGGTAAGACATCTGTTCTGGGACATCAGGGGCATAAAGGGAGAGATCCTGGGAGGGAAAGAGCACAATAGAAAAGAAGAAAGAACAAGCAGAGCATGTTAAAGGGTTAGGCTTGTCATAATTCTTCTCACAAGATCCTGTTGCTTTGATTATGCTTAACAATTTTAATTAAGCTGCATGTCAAGCAAGAATATTAAATCTAGCCTCCAAGCATGCTTGCCAGCAGCAACGGAGAGCCTAAGCATTATGAAGAGCAATTTTTGGAGATAAACAATGCCAGGAAGCCTCCTGGGAAGGGGCATGTAAATTACAGAGTTTTATATCCTGCTAAGCTGGGAGATTCCCATCAGAAGGTTTGTTGCTGTAGAGAGCTGATCACTGCTGTGGACATGACCTGTGGTGAGAATGAACAGAGGTGGTTACTTCCCAAAGTAGATTCAAAGGCTTGTGTGAAATGAGCTCACTGGTCCCAGTCCACACCCCAGCAGCCAAGAATGGGAAGCACATTGTGCTCCCCTATAAACCACAGGGTTTATCCTTCTCTGTGAAGCTTCTGTGGGTCTGTTCTCCCCCCATAAGGGATGGAGGTACTTTGGAGATGGCTCAGATGCCAAAGATTCCTTCTGTCCTGGCCAGATACTCTACACTGGGAGAGTCTCTGAAGATGCTGGGCCGGGTCTTTTAATTTTGAAAATATCAGCGACTGACCCCGACGTCGGCAGCAACGCCCAGATAACCTACAGCCTGCACGGCCCCGGCGCGGAGGAGTTCCGGCTGGGCCCACACACAGGTGAGAGCAGGGCAATGCTTTTATCCTCTTCCTCACTCACCCAGACATGCAAGCTCCCAGCACGGCTCAACACAAGGAGCTGTCCATTCCAGCTGTCCCAAGCTAGGAAGGAATGGCCACAGCATACAGGAGAGTGAGCTTCACATCATCCTGTTTGCTCTCGTTACAAATGTTAAAATGAAGGGCAGACACTATTGCTAGCAGCCAGGTGTCAAGGAGGAAAGAGCAGCAAGTGTTTGGCTTGAGCCAAAGACACAAGTTCTAAATCCCAAAATACCTCTTATCGGGTCTTGGGCAGTGTATTTACCCAAACAGACTTGATGATCATTCTAGAGATCACGTGGAGTTCCTTACATTGCAGAAAGCTCAATGCAGTGGGGTTTAGGAGTACAATTTATTTATGAAGAGTTTTATCCCATGATGGCATCCCTTGGATGAAGTTCAGCTGAACATGCAGGACTGCCCATGGGAAGCCTTGCCAGGGCCCTGGCTGGCAATGATCCGAGGATAGCCCTGAGCAATGTGGCGTGGACACATCACCACTATTAGCTCAATTATTGTCTCCCACGGTTCATCCAGGAAAACAGCTGAACAGCTGAACCTCTCTGAGGTCTTGTAGGCTGTGGCTGTGATTGCTGGGGACACAAAACCACCTCCTGTTCTTTCCCACAGGGGAGCTGACCACATCTGCACCCCTGGACCGTGAGCAGAAGCCCACGTACCACCTCGTAGCCAAAGCCACTGATGGCGGGGGCCGTTCGTGCCAGGCTGATGTGACACTGATCATTGAGGACACCAATGACAACGCACCAAGGTTCTTCCCCAGTCACTGTGCTGTGGCCGTCTTTGATAACACCACGACAAAGACACCCATCGCTGTGGTTGCCGCCAGGGACCTTGATGAAGGTGAGTCAGAATGGGATTTATGCATTAAGTAGAGTTCATCTTTCATTCTGAATTGAGGCCTTTGAAACCTAGGAAAATGCTACAGCAATGGGTTTAGATGATTGAATCTTGGCGAAGATGTGCCTGGATCTCATCGTTGACATGTTCTTGAGTGCTGGGCTGGCATCAGCATTTTTGTGACCCTGTTGGGAGTGCAGTATCTGTAGAAACATGCAGACCTTCTTTGAGAATGTGCTCAGTAACTGTAGCTGTGATACACAGCACAAACTGTTACACAGGCATCCAAACTGGACAGAAACTTTTTCAAAGGTGGGGACTGAGAATAAGTGTAATAAAGGAAAAAAGGAGTTTTAAATATGGGTTGGTGGGATAGATAATGTGGATTGAGACATCCTCCTGAAGACATAGAGATTCTCAGAAATATCGGTAAGGCTCCTAATAAAGGAACTTTCAGTAAACCTCTGCAGCAGTTTTAGAATTTAGGGAAGCAAGATCATATTTATCTTCTTTGAATGCAGATATGAAGAGAAATTAAATTTGAAAACAAGGTAATTAAAAATGGAGAACACCAGTAAATGCAGACAGCTGACACTGGTGGGTAATGGTGAGGGTGGCTAGATGACTGAACCTGCAGATGGGCAGGGGCACACTTGATGTTGGGATGATGTTCATACAGCCTCCATTTTCCCTAGGAATGGAAGGTCATTCGGTTGATATAGTCCTGATGCAGTATAAATAAATAAACCCAGCATCCTCCCTGACCATGAATTATTGCAGTCTCTCCATTACCCTTCCAGGTCTCAATGCTGAGGTGGTCTATTCTCTGTCTGACTCTGCCAATGGACACTTTTCCATTGAGGAAACCACAGGGGTGATCCGCTTGGAAAAGCCTCTGAAGGATTCCCAGCACTCAGCGTTCGAGCTGACAGTCTGTGCCACCGACCGGGGCACCCCAGAGCCCCTCTCTTCCCTCGGCACTGTCACTGTCTCTGTTGTGGATCTCAGCGAATACCTGCCTGTTTTCCTGGCCCCTGAATATGTGGCCATGGTAAAAGAAGATGTGGCTGTGGGAACCGAGGTCCTCAACTTGTCAGCCCTGACAAGGGACAACGCTGAAAACACAGAGATCAAGTATGAAATTGTGAATGGCAATGACCACGGGAAATTTCAGCTCAACTCAAACACAGGTAAAATGGTCTTGTGCCCAAGCAGGTCCAGGTTGATCCAACATCAAAGGCTGTCTTTGTGTGCATCTTCTCTGGTTCTTCTCCATGTGGCTCCCACTCACCTCTGTTTTTACCCAGCTCTGCTCTTCTCTGTCTTTACCCAGCACAAGGGTAGGGAATACAGTCTTCTTTTCTACTTCAAATTTTGCCATCCAAGTCACTTAAGAAGTGATCCAAATCTTACTGATATTAATGGAAGGATTCCTTCTATCTGTCTGAGACTGGAGACAGGTCCATGTGGATGAGGGATATGTGGATAACAGGATGAGGAAATTTCCCCACTTCAAAATGCAGGAGAAAGTGGTTTCATTTAAAAAGTCTTTCCATCAGGATCCCACAAGGAACCTGGAGTGCAGAGTAACAGGTAGCTTTACTGAACAGCGCTCAATGAAAGTGGATAATAGCACCATAACCATGGGCAGGTGTTGAGCCATGGTTACCAGCCAAGTAAAGCCCTATTCTGTTTGCACAGTGATGTGATAAGAGCTGTTGTCAGAAGGTCAGTGTTAACTCCCTGAAACAAGCCCTTGGCTGTGTCAGCAATGACCTTCTGCCCTCAGCTGCAGCATCCTCATCAGTGACATCTCAGCCTCTCCGGTCACAAGGCTCTTGATAATTCTTCCACATCAGGGTGGTCAAAGTTAGGTCAGCTGGCAGTTTGGCAGTTGCCTTGGCATATCTCTGCAGTATTCCAAGAAACCTCACGTGCCATTCATTCAAAATACTTCCTGTCCTTTCCTCCCCATTCTCCAACGTAGGTGCCTTATACATCAATGGGAGCCTGGACTTCGAAGCGAGTCACGAGTATTACCTGTCCATCGAGGGCACGAGGAAGGGCTCAGCCTCTCTCAGCGATGTGACCATGGTGGTGATCAACATAACTGACATTAATGACCATGCACCAGAGTTCATCCAAGATCCCTACTTCACTGACATTCGGGAGGATGCTGCCGTTGGAGAAATCATCCTCACGGTATGACTGAACCAGGCCAGCTGTCTTTTCCTCTTCTGTATTTGTGCTGTGCAATATTCACCCCTCTTGTGCACTTTACTTTTCCTTGGACACAGCAACCTCAGTGGGCTTGTGACGTTCAGCATCTAAGATTAAAGCATGACTTTAAAAAAGGATGATTGGCAGAGTTCCTGAGACTCCATAGACATGGAGAACACTTTGCCTTATAAGACATCTTTAAGTGAAAATTAAGGGTGCGCTCAGGAGCTTTAAGAACATCCCAAGAAAACAAAAATGCCTGAAAAAGGACAACGGCCTTGTGACCTGGGTAAGGCAGAGGCTCCTCTGGGCAGAATAGCAGAGCTCAAGGTGATGTGGAGTTCCTTGTCCAGCCTGTTACCATCACAGGGGTGGTAAAGTCAGGGACAAGGAGAAAGATGAGAAAATTATGTTGTCTTGAAAAAACTATTGGATGACACTTACTTGAACCACCTTCCTTTCCCCCTCCTTATCTGAGGCAAGCTCAAACCAATACCCTTAAATGACGAAGTGGTCCCATTTCTCCATGGCATGTCCTCTTTGGCCCAAGGGTCCTAGTGGGGTTTGTTTTTTTTTCTTCAAACAGGTGTCAGCTGATGACTTGGATGGGTCAATGAACAATCAGATCACATATTCCATCGTGGAAGGGAACCCGCTGGGACACTTTGCCATTCAACCCAAAAATGGGCAGATCAGCATTGCCAAGCATCTGGACAGGGAGGAGGTGAGTTCAGGAAAATGAGAATGGGAAGGCTGAAACAGATGTGTCCCAAAAGACTGAGGGAGAGCATCTTACTCAGCTGCCTCCTGTTTTCTGAATTACTTACCCATAATATTGTAGGTAGAAGACAAGGCATTAGTTTGTTTTCTATACTCATAGATACTGCACTAGGAAGGCTGGGCTTTAGGAAAGGCAGTGTGGAATCATAGAATGGTGTGGATTGGAAGGGACCTTGAAGATCATCTAGTTCCAGCCCCTTCCATTGGCAGGGACACCTTCCAGAGCTCTGAGTTTTGGTCTGCCCCACTGGTACTTCAGGCTGGCTGGGTGAGAGTCAGCCCCAACCAATACTGAGAATGTTGGCTGCGGAAACCAACAATAGTTGGGTCCTGCTTCTCTGCATTAGAGCATTAGAGAAAACAGGTGTGGGGAAGAGAAAGGTCACCTGGACCATCTCTCATTCATAAAACAGCAGCAGCTTGTCTCAGCCTGCCAGAGTTCAGAATCCTTTGGGTAACACTCTGAGGCACATGGTGGAATTGTTGGGATGTTCTGCACAGGGACAGGAGCTAATCCTGATTGGTCCCTTCCAGCTCAGCTTACTCTGTGAGTCTACCATTCTTAAACCACTATTGACAGGTGTTTGCCCAGCTTAGTTTTATCCATCTTTGCCAAGTTGTTTCTCTTCTCTGCAGTTTTTGTGAGGCTGATTTAGTTTAGCAGTGAGCTTTGAGTGAGATTTATGGATGGAGAGCCTCAGCCAAGGGCAAAGCTGTTGAGGCCGTGGTGCATGGCCTCGGGTATTTCAACAAGCTGCAGCAAAATAAAACTTCAATGTGAAAAAGCCATTTCTGCCATTTCTCCAAGTAATCCTGCACTGCAAATCCTCCAGATCCCCAGTTACTCACTGACAGTTCGAGCCACAGACAATGGCCACCCTGCTCAGTTCAGTGATGTCCCTGTGCACGTCCACGTGTCTGATGTCAATGACAACCCTCCTCGCTTCTTCCAGCTCAACTACAGCGTGGTGGTGCAGGTAAGCCAGGAGATAGTTTGTTCTCCCAATCCCTCTCATTGCACTAATGAGCTCATTCCTAGGCTGCTGTTGGAGCAAAGTGGAGGGACAGTGATGAATCACGTTGCTGCTTTGTGCTCTGTGTCTTCTTGGGCAGGGGTGGGATTTGTTTTCCTGTTCCTGATCCAGCAGCTCCTGGGCCACTGTGGGTTCTCCCGGGCCATTTATCTTTGCTTACCTTCCTCCAATAGCATCTTTTCCCATTTCAGGAGAATGCTCCTGTGGGGACAAGTGTCCTGGAGCTGATTATGAGTGACAGAGACTCTCCAGAAAATGGACCACCATACTCATTCCAGATCACCCAGGGCAATGATGGGAAAGCCTTTGAAGTCAACCAAAATGGTCTGCTGGTGACATCATCTGTCCTGAACAGAAGAGTGAAAGAACAGTACTTATTGCAAGTCCAGGTAGAGACTGTTTTACTGTCCTGGTGTCTGAATTCCCCAGCCAGCTTAAGTAGTAATAAAATGCGATTAGCATGGCCCAGCTGAATGAAAACATTTCTGCCTTTGAAGAAATCCAATCCAGGCACAAATTGTGCAGCTTGGAGCCAGCTCCAGAGCTCATTTCTCCACACAGTCTGCCCACAAGAAGCAGGGGGCCAGCTTCTGTGTTGATAAAATCAGATAATACGATCATGAAAAATACTCTGTCAGCAGTTCCCTTAGACAGATGCTTTCCCCATAATCATTCTAGTGAATTCCAGTTTAAAGTGAGACCTGGATCTGGTCCTACAAGCTTTCTCTAATTATCCTTGTCATTTAAGAAGTGGTTTCAGTTCCTCTTCAAAAAGGATTTCTATTGTTGCAGAATGAATTCGTTATTTTTCAGTGCTATCAGTAGGGATAGTCCATTACAAACAAAAGGATAATAACATGTAAAGTACATACTTCTTCAGTAATGGCAGTTGTTGTAAAAGTTAGGTACTATTATATTACAAACCTCAACCTCTAACTGCTTAGCATTAGGGAGAAATTTATCCCATAATCTGATTATTCACATTTTTCTGTTTGAGGTTCCTTGACTCAGTGCTAGACAGACATTGTCAGAGGTGGGACAGGGCTTAAACAGCCTGGAAGGTGAGCAAATGTGTTGATGTGTGTAACCTCTTTACATCTCCATATACTCAGTTACGCATGGAACCTAAAAGATTGGCAACGTGATAGAAAATTATTAACCCTCAGGAGTTCAGAGCCACTCAGAGGTTCAGGGGAAGTGAGTGTGACCCCACTGTGAGCAGAAGGCCTCAATCAGTCTCCATGCTGGAAGGGATGCTGCCCTTTCCCTGGGCCCTTCTCCAGGCAGAGCTCCAACACTGCTGCCAATTTTTCCCGTTCCTTCTTTGTTCCCAGCCTGCTGCCTGAGAGCTTCCACTCATTGTTCCCTGACGGCACTCTCCTTCACAGGACCTCACCAGTCAGGTGAGGTGACAGTAAGTCAGCGTGTGGCTATAACAGATTCTTCTGTTTTCCTTGCCAGGCCTCTGACAGCGGCATCCCTCCTCTCTCCTCATCTGCATTTATAAATATCCAAGTGACTGAGCAGAGCCAATACCCGCCCTCGGCCCTTCCCCTGGAAATATTCATCACCACCAACGAGGAAGCCTTCCGAGGCGGCGTTCTGGGCAAGATCCACGCCACGGACCGGGACCCCCATGACACGCTGGTGTACACTTTGGTGGCACAAGCGCCCAAGGAGGGGCTCTTCTCTGTCGGGGCTGCAGATGGGAAGATCATAGCTGGGGACAAGCTCCCCCATGGCCACTACCTTCTGAATGTGACGGTCAGTGACGGAACGTTCGCAGCCACCACGAGCGTCAGCGTCCACGTGTGGTGCTTCACGCAGGAGGCCTTGGACAAGGCAGTGGTGCTGCACTTCCGACACCTCTCCCCCGAGGAGTTTGTGGGGGACCACTGGCGCAACCTGCAGAGATTTCTGGGGAACATCCTTGTCACCCGGCGCCAGAACATCCACATGGCCAGCCTGCAGCCTGCAGCCGCCTCTGATGGCGTGGATCTGCTCCTGGCTGTTGGAGAGCCACACGGCTCCTTGTACGAGCCGCGGGTGCTGGCCAGCAAGCTCACCGGGTCGGCTGGGGAGATGGACCAGCTGGTTGGGCTCCGGATGAAGAAAGCGATCCATGTGCCCTGTCACGGGTCAGACTGTGCCCACCGTGTCTGCAGGGAGACCATCCAGCTGGATCCAGGCATGATGTCTACATACAGCACTGCCCGGCTCAGCGTCCTCACCCCACGGCACAGCTTGGAGCAGATCTGCTCGTGCAATGGTGAGCGATCCTTCCTGGCAGTGTCTGACCCTATGAACCTGGGAATGTTGTGCTTTCCTTCAGTACATTATACAGCACCCGGATTTTCCATGGAATTAGGTTGCCCAGTGACCAACAGCTCTGCCCACAATTTCAAAGACTCTTAAGAGTCTGAAATACAGTCTTTCATAGAGTCTATTTTTTTTAATTAATCTCCTGTAGCATTTAATAACAGCAGCATCTGTCTCTCTCATTGTGAAAAGTCACTCATACTTAGCAGGAAATGAAGGTCAGTGATCAGAACTTTTTATCTGTAATCTCACATGTTGATCCTGGACCTGGCAAAGCACAGAGTAACTGATAAGTTGGAGGAAAGACAAATAAAGTATATTTGTTATACTGGCTCTAGGATACTTCAAGAAATAATTGGAGGAAGCAGGGATCAGTAACACTAGGGCAGGAATATAAGGGGATACCACAGAATATAAAAACTTAGTAAGGATGGAGAAATTCAAGGGTGTTGTAGACTACACTGAAGGCACCTTGAAGGACAAAAATAGCCAGGCTGATATTTCAGGGTTGCTTCACAGCTGAGTACATAGAAAAAGTACTGGGAGCTCCCAGTGGGACTGTGGGAGATGCAGTGCAGGGATCCGTGGGTTGCTGTGGATGGGACTGCTCCTAGACAGTCGTGGCATCAGGCTAGGAAAAGAGGCAAGGCTTGATACAGTCCATAGCCTCAAGCTGCCACAAAAATGAGACATTTCTTTGATTCTCCTTTCAGGAACAGCTGTGAGGTTTGGGGGCCACAGCTACATTTGGTACCAGCACTCCCAGGTTGGCTCCTGGCACGTGCACTTTCGCCTCAAGACCCACCAGCATCACGCAGTCGTGTTCTCCGCCAACGGGACTGACCACGCCACTCTGGAGGTGTGTATGGCAGTGCGGGGGGATTTCTCTTCTCAGCTGCAAAAACCATACTCTCTCGGGGAAGGGAGTCACAGAAAGTATATGCAAAAATATGTACCCTTAGTAATTAGTGTAGCTGAAATATAAAGACATGGGAAGACCAAACGAGAGCCAAGCACAGTTTGGCAACTGCTGCAACCACAACTGGGAATCGTCCTCTAGGCATGTAAATGCATGTGTTGGTCTCTGGTGTGACTTCTGGTGACGTCATCAGACACCCATAGCAGGTCTACATCACTTTATTTCCTCCAGCTTGTTTCTTCTTCCTCTCTTGCATCTCACCTCTCAGGACAAAGAATTTATCAGGTGGAGTTGTCCACAGACCAGTCTGCTTCTGCTTTAGCAAAGGGCAAACTTTCTCCCATACCTCAAATTAAAGGTCCTTTACAATAATGGACAGAAAAGACAGAACAGGAATCCTAAATTATATTTTTCACACACACATCCCTCTTTTCAACCACTTTCTTCAGATGGTTTCACTGTTTTAGACACCCGCAGAAACAGGAACATTTCATTCTGATCACTCTCCTGCCTTGGACTGAACACTGAACTTACCGTTCAAAGATCATCTCACTCTTCCACAATGGCAACAGAAGGAAAGCAGCAGATGACTGAGGAATAGCATTTTTGTATATTCTTCATCAGCTGAATTCAGACTAATTGGAGACTAAGATCACAGGACATGTTTACCAGCTTACAGAGATTTGTCCTTGAGACTGATCCCATTGAGACCTAGACACGATAACCTACCTGGAAGTGTTCTTCCTGTCCTTGGATTGCCCCATCCCTTCTCACGGTTTCACAGTCCCATCTTCCTGTTGTGAAACACTTTCCACTGTTACAGAAGACCCACACAGAGAGGGAGCTGTGCAGCAGCCAACCTCCACACACTTGCCTTTTGCACATATTTCAAGCTCCTGCTGCCACAGCCATCACTCCTGAAGAGGAGGAGCAGAGAAATACCATCCATATGTCCCATACCCATCTCTGAGAGTGACTTGAAGCTGAATTGTTAAAGACCAGTGAGAAAAACTTCTCAAGGGTCTCAACCTTTCTACCTCACCTCTGGGAAGGAGAGTCATCAAAGAGTTCATCAGAAGGAATCCAGCACTTCAGGAGGTGCTCAGAAGGTACAAGATGGCAAGAGACTCCACTGAGCCAGATCAGCACAGTCAAGGGAGAAAAGGCTCATTATTGGTGGAGTTCAGTGAGCCCATAATCTCCTGTGCCCAAGCTTGTCTCCACAAGCTTTTCATAGGAAACATTCATAAAGCCTCCTCCATAAACATGCCTGTGAATAACTTTTTTCCCAACTTGCTTTTTTAGCAGTATGTTAGGGATAAAAAGGTTTCTAAACCACCTAGCTTGATAAAAATGAAGGAATCCCTCAAGGTTTCAAACCTTGTAGACTGAAGTACTCCAGATATGAGCCAAAGCTTTGAAAGGTCCATAAGTGATGGTTTGTAGATTTGACAAAGTGGATGAGCCCTCCCAAGAGCATGCATATCATCACTTTTCCAGTCTCTAAGCTCTTCTGATGTTCAGAAATAGGTTGCAGCAAGAGGATGGCAGACCAGGCAAACTGGGAAAGGCTTGGCAGTGTGTCAGTTCTTGCTCCAGGGAATCGAGTTCTCAGCTGTCTCCCAGCCCAGAATTGATAAGCCAAATCTACAGACCCATCTGAAGTGAAATCATGTTCTTGCAGATGAAGTGACAAAGTTCTCTGGTGTGCTTGCCAGTTGTGAAAAGGGATTTACACACATGTTGCCCTGAGGCCCTTCCATGGCATGTGCCAGCTGCTTCTTCTTCTTCCTTCCTTCAGCAGTTGCTCACTCTTCTCATTGGTATTTATTTATACCGTGGGCTTCTCTAAGAGTTAACTGTTGTCTTGCTCCGCTCCAGAGTAGCACCTTCATATTGTATGTGGGTTTCTCTAGAGTCAGTGTAGCCCATAATCATTCCTGTTCTTCTAACCCTTCCAAGAATCAACCCTCCTCGCTGTCCCCCATGGACAGCTCTCCTGCCTGGGATGAATTGCTTGATGTTACACAGCAGGCTTTGCAGGTTTCCCACCAACACTTCATTTCATCTCTTTTCTCCTTTTCCATTGGCTTTTGGCTTCTGAGAGAGAGAGGTTTTATCAACAAAGCACTGGGGAGGTAAAGGTGAAAAATGGGTTTAACCCTGACTTCACTCTGAAACAACACAGCTAACTTCTCCTTTCTCTGTCCTGTATGACTTTTAAAGATGAATCTTGGGCCAGAAATAGGAATTTCTGATGTCCCAGTTTAATGCAGAAGATGTTGGTGTGGTTCACTTTCAGCAGCTCAACACCTTGTCTCTCTCCAGTCTGGTGAAGATCAAGGATTGGATTGCAGAACATATCAGTAACTCTGGCATGGTTTTCCAGCATGGCTATGAGAGTAATTCCTTTCTCTGCTTCCCAAGTCCTCCTTTCTCCTCCAGAGAAAGCTGCCAGTGCTTCTCCTCAATAAGATTGTTTCACCACCTTCACTCCTGCCAAAGGGGCAGCTGCTCCAGCACCTTCCCCACCATTAATGAGACAGTGAGAGCAGAACAAAAGCCACGTGGCCCAGAACAAGAGTCTATCTGTGGTGGTGCACTTATGGATAGTCTGAATTCCAGGGCTCTGAGCAGGCTCAGGAAGGTGGGAGAAAGGGCAAACAGCTGCAGCAGTAGCTGTATGATCCCATGGCTCTGCTCTCTGTTACGTGGAAAGATGAGCTTCCCTTCTTGCACACTGGTCAAAGGCTGCCAGGAAGGACCATGGGTGAAATAGTGCCAGAGAGATGAAGGTGTTTTGCAAAATAAAGGGGTTGCAGGCACTCAGTTGATCCAGGCAGAGCTTAAAAAAAGGTGAAAGGGGTTGCATTTGGTACTTCTTGGAATCAGAAAGATGGGAGTCATCTCAGTGTGAATGCCAGGAGAGAGGGGAACAAGCAGCGGGAGAAATGTTGAGACCCTTCATAAACAGCAGCCACCCATGTCACAGCTACCTGTACCTTCTGTGTTTTACAGGTGATTAATGGAGTGCCTCAGCTTGGCTACAGCTGCCGGGGGAGCTCCCCTGGGAACCTCTCCTCCTCACGGTTTGTGAGCGATGGCGAGTGGCACTCGGTGTTCCTGGAGGTGAAGAACACTTCTGTCCGCCTGCTCATCGATGGCCTGGGAAATGTCTCTCTCCAGCTGCCAGGGACCTGTAGGATCTCCCAGGGCAGACGAGACCTGATTTTTGGGGGCCTCCGGCAGTCGCTGCAGTCCCAGCGAGTCACACGGGGGTTCAGGGGCTGTCTGGACGTGGTTGCAATCAACGGCAGAGAAGTGGTTCTCCTTCCTGGGAAAGGGCAATCGAAGGAAGTCTTGGAGGAGGTGGGGATAAGGCAGTGTTGCTCCCCCACCGGTGCCTGCAGCAGCAACCCTTGCCTCAACAATGGGATGTGCTCTGAAACCCAGGGAGGAGGTATGTGAACATCCCACCCGGGGCTGTGGAGAGCTGTAAGCAGTTGGGGGGGACGATGCACAACTTTATTGATCCCTGTGGAGGGGCTATTCCAGAGGGGAAGCAGAGGTCCTCTATCCCAGGGGACCTCAAGTGACTCAGTGCAGCAGCAGCTGCAGGATGTGAGATCATCATCCTGGCTCTCACCAGTGGACCATGGGCCCAGAGGGCAGGAAGGTGTTTCCAAGGAGTGTGCATGACATAGGAGAGCAGAGTGTTGCCAAAAACTCAAATGCATATAGAAATTCCACCCACCCCTCTGAATCCTTTTAGCTTAAGGAGCTGTTAACAAGGCTGGAATCATGCAGGATGGGATCATGCAGTGATGGTATCTGGGCAGAAACAAGCCAAGATCTTGGTCTCTTCCCACTGCAGTGAGTGACTCCCCAGGGCTATGCAAAGGGATGTGGGAAAGCCCTAAGCTCAAATCAAGAGTCCCAGGCTAATGTGGGGTGCACACACGCAAAAGAGGTTTGATACAGGCTCTGCCCTAGGCAGTGTCCCTGCTGCCCCGTTCCTGCCATCAGAGGGGCTCCTTGCAGTGAGCTGTACCCCAGGGACAGGGCTGTGAGGAGAGGAGCTGCTCCCAGAGGTGTCCAGCCCTGTGTCACTGCCCTACAAGTCGTTGTAGCTGCCAGCACAGCAGGGCTGCACCCTGTAACACCCTGTCTATGAGATGGGTACTGCCTGTGCCCCGGCCCCTCCAAGGGGCACTGGATGCTTCCCACGCTGCTGTGTGGGGCAGAAGCTGCTCCTGCAGCTCTGCTCTTTGGGACCCTTGCCAAAGCACACCCTGCCCGGCGAGCAAGTGAGGACAGAGGAGGCACCACCTTCTCCTGCCCTGCCTGCTGCCTCTGGGAACAAGATTCCCAGCCCTGTCGACTCAGCAGCTGCCTGGTTCAGGTGAACTTGTTTGACACCAGGTGTAAATGTACAGAACAGTTAGTCTGGCTGGCACTCACACCTCAGCCTTCAGACCCTCTGCACAGAAAACCCCTCTGGCTGGAAGGGGCTCAAAGCCCACAATGGGAAAACACATCTCTGCTCTAAGTCAAGACATCCCCTGCTTTCATTGCAGAGAGAATACAGTGAGAGGGAGGTGAAAAATCCCTCCCTCAGTAATAACCTAATGATCATCCAGTGTCCTTCCCATGGTTTCCTTCCAGGATGAACAATTTTTTCCTGCAGATGGCCCAGCTGACCAGGAAAGAGCCTGTGGGACATGGGCAGGGAAGGGATTGCCCAAGGGATGTTTCTTTGTGAGGTTATCCTGGTTGCTTGGCTTCCCTGAGTGCCATGGGCTCAGTCCTGGGGACCCCAGGCAGGCAGCACCAGCTCATGCAAAGCTGTGCCCAGGGATCTCAGGCGTGGGATTACAGCACAGGCAGGGACTCGCCTGTGGGAGCGAGCCCAGGGAGCCACGTGGCCGTGTGAGAACACATCTGTGGGGAGAGGGCCCAGCCCAGCACCACCCCAACCACAGCGCTCAGGACCACAAACACAAGAGAGCCCCACATCCAGGACATGTGTTTGGGCACACACAACCCTGGGGGCAGTGTCCAGCACCTGCTGCAGCAGTGTCAGCACGTCCTTCTGCTACAGCCACTGACACACATGTGGAAACAGGCCCAGGTTGTTTGCCCCATGCTCTAAAGCAAGGTTGTTCAGCTTGTGGATGAGTAGCAGACTTTTCAAGTGTGCTGCAAGGTGGAAACTCTGAATTTCCCACACAGCAGCACCAGCCAGGTGATGAGCAGGAGCTCAGCACAGCCAGGGACATTCCCGTGCTCAGGACTGTGCTAAACAGCAGCCAAAAGCACAAACAGCAGGAACCCCCTCCAAGTCCCTGGCTGTGCTGGGTTTCTCTCTGTCTGTGAGCAGACATCTCCTGTAAGCAGGAGAAACTCGGCATGTTGAGACAGGCACTTCATACCACGAGAACTCTCAGGACCAAAGACTCCTGAGAACAACAAATTACAGGGGATTTCACTTAACAGAGTCAGAAACTGTGAATCAGCCAGCCAAGTTCCCCTTCCTTTATCCTAGATTTGTCCCTCAGCTTCTCCATGCAATAAAGCTGTGCTCTGACTGCATCTCTGATCTGTGTCGGGAGAGGACAGGCTTGACTTGTTGCTCAGACAGCTCCCTAGTGCCACTGTGTTGCCCCAGAGTGGCCACCCAGGCTCCAGCAAGCACAGCAGGTCCTGTAATGAACCCATCAGGCCTCCAGGGATGGCCTGGGTGTCCCACAGCACCTGCTGCAGCAGCAAGCACCTGCGCTTGGGTAGCTGTGCGAGCCCTCTGCAGGGGCCATCAGCACCAGACACTGCTCCTCCCTGTTCTTGCCCGTTTTTCCACATGGATATGTTCACTCTCACCCCCTACAGGTTACACCTGCATCTGCCCTGGACTGTTCTCTGGTGAGCACTGTGAGCTTGGGGACAGTCCCTGCGAGTCCAAGCCCTGCCTGCACGGGGGAACCTGCACCCTCTCAGCCACCGGCTACTCCTGCCACTGCCCTGACTGGTACCTGGGTGAAAGGTAAGGCCTGGGGGGACAGGTGACATCCCATGCAGACATCCCTGCAAACATCAGCATTGCACGTTTCTGGAGCTCACCAGATCCACACACTCTGGGATTTATTGCAAACTGCAGCCATCTGAGCATTGCAGCCGGGAGGTGTTGGAGGGAAGAGCTGAGCAGAACAGGACACAGCTATAAACACAATGTACACAAATTGTGTAAACACACAAATGCCACCGTCCCTCTGTGCCTGTCTCCTCTGAGCAGGAGGGAAAACAGAACCATCTCCTCTGCTTACAGGTACTTTGGTGCCTGCAGGTGCTTTGGGACAGTGCTTGCTGGGAGCAAGTCTCCCTGCACACACTGCTGCTCCCTGGCATTGGGGCTGAGTCCAGCAGTAATGGGAACACCTTGGCTGAGGTGGGGGGAGCTCAACTGTGATGGGGGCCCTGGCAGCAGGGGACAGGCAGACACTGCACTGGGTGGCAGGAGGATGCCCTGAGGCTGGGGGAACCTGCCTGGCAGAGTTGTGAGGTGCCCCCTGCTTCAGTAGCCTGAACACCCATCCTGCAGGGTGCTAAAGGGACCAGCTCTACAGGGTTCATGCAGAAGAAATCTCTGTTCCAGCTCACAGCTGTGATTCATCCAACTCAAATCCCAGCTCAAGACCGTGGGCATTACCACCCCAGCCCAGCAGCACCTCCAAGACCCCCACCTTGCCTCCAGCCCAGCCTGGTCAGAGATTCCCAGCACAGGCTCAAACAGCATCACACCAGTTCATCCTTCTGCCTCAAACAGCATCACACCAGTTCATCCTTCTGCCTCAAACAGTATCACACCAGTTCATCCTTCTGCCTTAGCTATTTAGCCAGGGTGGACACTGGTCCTGTGGATCAAGGCAAAGGCAGAAATGATCTGTTCAGCTCTTGGAATAAAAGCCTGTAGCTGAGCATTAGGTGGCAGTGTAATACCTGACATCAGCTAGAGCCTGTGGGTGCCTGTTGCACACATCTGCTCACACATCCTAAATCACTGACTGCAAGTGCAAACCTCACAGAGTGTTCAGTAAGGAGAACAAAAAAAAGGGAAGGAAAGTCAGCAAAGCATTGTATATTCCCCCCAGCATGGGGAGATGATTGCTGTTAGAAGGAAAGGTCCCCTGTAGGCAAACATTTAGATTGTGTGTGGGGTGGAGCAGGATATAGAATCAGAAATTCCATCTCAGTTCCGCAGATGCTCCCTGAAATGTCAAAAATCCTCTCTAGCAGGGGTATCCATTCATCACCTCACAGGGTTGTCTTTTCCCAAATGTTTGCTGCAACCTGCAGACATCCACAGACCATCCAGAGGCTCCACAGAGCTTGGAGGACATGGGATACTTCATAACAGGTTAACACACCTCACACTGACCCTGGGCTCCCTAATTTAACAGGATGGGAACATCTAGTGTTAGCCCTAGAATTCCAAACACTCCTCTGAGTCAGAAAGCTCCCCATTTTAATTTGGGCATATAACTGAAAAATAGGAGGTCTCTTGGAAAGCATCATTTTATACTCAAGGATCCTCTGCCAGGATAAGGAGGTAGCAAGAATCCAGTGAGGGAGGGAGAGCAGAGCAGGATAGAGCATCCTTGAGTGGTGTAAGCCAGAGCCTGAACAGGATGAGGCAGTTGTGGTGCATCCCAGGCTGACAGGGGTTGTCTCCATCCCTTTCCCCCACAGGTGTGAGAAGCTGGCAGAGGAGTGCCAAGAGAACCCATGCCGCAACGCCGGGCGCTGTGTGAGCAGCCAGGGCTCCGTGCACTGCATCTGCCCGTCGGATTACCAGGGGGACTACTGCACCCAGCCCATCATCACGCCCGCCATCGTGCCCACGCAGTGGGCGCTGGGCCCCGAGGAGATTGCGGAGATCGCGGCCGGCGTGCTGGGAGCGGCCATCCTGGCCGCGGCCTTCGTGCTCGTCCGCAAGCGCTGCCGCCAGCGCGCCAAGGCGCACAAGCCGGTGGCCCGCGAGGACCCTGACCTGCTCTCCAAGAGCGAGTTCTCCAAGAGCGTGGGCGTGGGCACCCAGCCCGTGCCCCCCATCGAGCTCAACATCCTCAGCGACGCGGCGCACAACAACCTGGACCGGGCCACGCCGGAGCAGCGCAAAGCCACCGGCACCCCTGAATTCGTCACCTTCAACTCGGCCAACGCCCCGAAGCACCGGGGCACCATCGTGTGCAGCGTGGCCCCAAACCTGCCCCCCGTTGCACCCCCGTCCAACTCTGACAACGAGTCCTTCATCAAGTGCACCTGGGCCAGGGAGGAGATGGGTCAGTAGCCACAGCTTTTTCTTGTTCTTACACATCCCTCATTCCCTTGGGAAGTGGATCTGAGGTTTGCAAACATGAGGGACAAATGGTGTTGGTTAAAGAAATGCAAAGCAGGGGCAAATACTGCCCCAGAACTGTTATAGGGCTGTCATTGGCTCTTTCTCCCGATTCATCAGAATGTCCCAGTTTTCTGCTTTAACCTGCTTGGTCTTGTACACAACCAGCAGGGAAACCATTAATGCACAGCAGGCTGTGATCCTGGGTCAAAAAAACTTGTAAAGAGAAAAATAAAAAAAAAACAAACCAAGATCCTAAAAGTCAGTAGGAGTTTTAGTGAAGACATTTGCATCAGTGCTCCTGGGCAGAGAGATCAGATTCTCAGGGGAACTCTTGAATGGCTGTGGACAGCAAGGTTACCCCATGAAGGAGTTCCTCACATGAGGAACTGCAGGGAAAGGCAGATGGACAGGATCACTGGATCACTGCCCCAATCCCTTCATAACGTGAGTTTCTTTCATCCAAACACAAGGATGAAGTGTGTCTTTTGGGTGCTAGAGTAGTGGATATCTGTAGGCTGATGGGGACACTGCCTCAGCACAGCCAGGGGTGATCTCGGGTCCCCACAATACCCAGATTAGCAGCTACACCTCCCCTATCCCTGCTTCTCCTCTCCCCAGTCTGCCACATCTCCTATAGGCTCAGAGCCTACAGAAGGAATCGGCAGGAGGGCATGAGAGAGGCAACAACCGCTAGAGCTGCAGCTAACACGACTTTCTTTCGTTCCAGTCTACCCAGCAGAAACGACCTACTGGCCCCCCCGGTACCTGTCATCAGATGTCCAGGAATATTCCCACTACGAGATCATTCAAGGCCCCCCTGCCTCCTCCTCTCACCCTCCTCTCCCGCCGCCGCCCCCTCCCCCAGCAGACACGGAGCCGGTCGCTCTCTACGGGGGCTTCCCCTTCCCGCTGGACCAGAGCAACAAGCGAGCCCCCATCCCACCCCGCTACAGCAACCAGAACCTGGAGGACTTCCTGCCGCTGGGCCCTGTGGACATGGGAGCATCCCAGTGCCAGAACGAGTACACGGCCATCAGCTACTACCCAGCGCAGCTGGTGCAGGGCGAGGGGGTCCCGTACCAGCCCGAGCCGGGCTACAAGAGGGTCAGCATGCGCCTGAGCGTGGCCCAGCCCTCCTACGCCGACTGCGAGCTGGGCCACCAGCCCAGCATCCGAGCCCAGCCCCTGCCGCCGCCCAACTACGAGGGCTCCGACATGGTGGAGAGTGACTACGGGAGCTGCGAGGAGGTGATGTTCTAACGCGGCTTGCTCGTGGGATGAGGAGAGAAGCGCATCTCCACGCAGAGCAGAGTGCAGGGGGCTGGCACACGCAGCTGGAGGGAGGCTTGTGTGTGTCCCCCTCAGCTTGCAGCGTCTCCCCCTGCACGGCTGGGTTGTTTTTGGCTGGATCTTCCCCCTCGCTGCCCTCCACGGCGCTCCTGCTGCAAACGGAGGGGAAATTCTCCAGCCACTGCTGGGACATGGAGGATGCTCCTGGGATGCCAGTGACTAACCTGCCCCCTCACCAAGGGACTGCTTCCGACACCAGAGCATGCTACCTCCTCCCACCCCAGGCTTCCTGGCCATGGGGAGGGGGAGGGCAAGCACTGCAGGTATGGCAGCAGTCATGGTGGAGAAAGGTGTGAAAGGACTGGCAATGTACAGCCTGGAAGTGCCCCATGTGGGGTACAGACGCTCCCTGCTCCCAGCTCTGGCTCCAAGGGCTTGCATCAAGCCAACAGTTTGTTCGTGGAATGGATCAGCTGGTGCAAACCCTCTTCATGTCTGCTCCCTGACACTGGGAGAGAGAACAGGGAATGCAGCTGGTCCCACCAGCACATCCCTCACTGGCTAACAGAAGTCCAAGGGGAAAAAAAAAAAAAAAAAAAAAAAAAAAAAGAAGAAAAAAAAAGGGTCCATTTCTGTAGAAAAACCAAGCAGCAAGGTTTGTTACAGCAGGAACCACCCAGACTCAAAGCAGGCTGTGCAGTTGGGCTGTGTGCACACGAGTAAAGGGGACCCTGCCCCAAGGATTGTTTGCACAGCCTTGTCCCCATGGTGTCACAGTCCCACACTGAGTGCAGCTGTACATGGTCCTGCCAACAGCAGGGACTCCGTGCTGGATCCCAGAAAGACTGGCCAGCACTGCCTGGAATCTCTGACCAGAGAGGGGCACCAAGGCTACTGAGCATGGGTTTGCCTGTCTGTCCTTGTGCTTGGAAATGTATCATTTCTTCGTGAGAGGTTTTCTTTGGTTGGTTGTTTGATGTAACTTTTTTTGTTGTTGAATTTTTGGAAAGTATTAAAAGAGTTTGGATTTTTTTACTATTATGATTTTATTCAGTATCTCAGGGATTCTCTTGTAAATAGATAGGACCTCCTTGCCTAGGCTCCAGCCAAGGGAATAACAACTTCGTTTGGGCACCAAAAGCTCTCAGAGAAGTACCAAGACAGGAAGTTAAACACTATTTGAGGATCCTGTAAGTGCCAGAGGGATGAAGCAGACTGACCCACAGTACCTTGCCTTGCTTTGGGAAACCATGAGGCTCCTGTATCTCTTAGCTCGGGAGTAAAGGGATTGAAAGGACCCAAACTGAAGCTTTTGATTTGCATCCCCAATAAACACTGCTTGTTTTACCTCTCAACATTTTTTCACCAGCTCTTCTCAGCAGAAAGCAGTCCCTGCCTAGATTAGAACTATTATACCTAGTTGGTTTTATAATGCTTGTTAAATCCCTCTGAACATCATCCTAAAATAGTGCATTTCTGTACTTTGAGAACATTTAATTTTGCCCATAAGGAAAACACAAATTTTTCTTCCCAGCAGCAGAAGCAGCACAAATAAGAATGATATTTTCCTTCAGACTTTTTAAGTCCCGAGGGTTGCTTTGGACAGTGGTCACAACACAGGGAAGGGCAAAGGCACTTTGAGATGAAGCTCCACTGACACCTGGGAAGGAGCAGCGTCAGTAAAGCCATTTCATGGGATGGGGACAGCCCTGCAATGCTCAGCCCTAAGGAAGGGATGGCTGTGGATCCCACCGTGGTGACTCTCCAGAGTCAGAAATACCCTGAAGCACCAGGAGTGGCTGTGCTCAGCTGTCTGTCCTGCCCTGTCGTTGAAGTGACCTCAGACCCACAATTCCTATCAGCCTGCAAAAGCTTCCTAGTTTAAGAAAAAAATTCTGCCAGAGTTTCTAAAGATGAACTTTTTATAGCAGATTTCCCCAACAGCCCTCTAATGACACACTGCAAAGGCATGAATTATTCAGCAGTGAGGATAAGCCGAGCTGCAGCAGTGCTGGCAGAGTCTCCCAGTGTGGGCTGACTTCTGCTCTTTTGATCTCTAGGGCAGATCAGCAGCAGCTCAGCATCCCCCATATTTTTTCACATGCCAGGCTCTTTTTTTCAGCTGCAGCCCCATTTCTGGCATAAGTAGGGAGATGAGAAACCAAGGCCCAGCCCTACAAGTCCATAAGCTCTGCCCACAACCTACTTGCACAAATGAGGTCAGAAGAAAAATTAAATTTTCCAAGCAGCAAAGCTGGAACACTTTTATTTGAAACCCTCATGAGGAGGGGAAATCAGGTGTGCTGTGTGGGGGTGGGAGCAGCACAGGGTGGGATCCTGGCTGCCTGCTGGGCTCCACGTCTCTTGCTCTCGCTTCTTTTGGAAGAAGAACCCACACTGCACACCCCAAAGCCTTTACACATAAAAAATAGATCATATTTATTGATTAAGATACATGATTCAGGTGCAGCACCAGCTCTGCCGCTGGGCAGCCACCCGTGCTGTACGCTGACAATATCCATAGGCACGAGACACGGACATGACCATTGCTATATTTACACAGACAAGTTTTGTGGTTACTGAGCAGCCTACGATACACAAGTGTCAAGTTTTCGTGTCCATCAGGTCCTGCACCAGCCCCCCTGGCTCAACTGAGCCCCTCACACCACATGTGCCACCAGCATGTCTCACCCCATCCTCAAACACCCCTGCTCACCCCAATAAAAGGGAGGAGCTGCAAAACCCATTTAATTCTTCTGTGATATCCCAGTCCCCTCAGAAATCAGAGGTCTTCACTGCTGCTTGCAAAGTGAGTTTGGATGCCAGGAGCCTCATCAGCAAACCCACTGATGCCCAGTGCCAGGCAGGGGACATGCCTTGGCACACAGCTGTCCCTAAAATGTGGCCTGCATTCTTAGAGTGCACTACTAGCAGGGCAAGGGGAAGCATCAGACACCCCCTGCTCCTCACATCACTCCCTCTTGTGCTTGACAATTCTGACTCAAACCCAACCCCAAGGGCCACGCTGGGGTCAGTACACAGAGATGGACATGAATATTGCCCTTGTCCCGCCTGTGTCATTCCCTGGATCCCCTTCGCAGCCCTTCAGGTGCTTCCCCTCTATCCCCATGGTGCCCTCCAGAGGGAGGATCTGAGTTAAAGCTTTGCTCTGCTTCTGACCAAGCAGTGCTGGTCATGCCAAAACCTTCCCCAGCACAGCCTTGGAGGAGATGAGGTGAGCCCCAAGAGATGCAGGGAGCAGAAGAGGGGCTGGAAGGGGCAGTGACATGGCACAGACTCACCCCACACCTGGCCATGGGTCCACGTACCAGCATGTGGCACCCAGAACTGCCAGCAAAGGGACACAGAACGGACACAAGCACCACCCAGGGAGAGGCAGGCTGCAGGGACACTGCTCCACACAGCCTTCCCCTCACAGAACCCATTCAAACACCAGAAATAACCACAAACCGCACCCTCCACCAAAGATGGGAACACAGCCCACTGGTGCTGCTCTCACCCTCCTTTCCCACCACCAGCAGCCTTTGCCCACCCCCAGGGAGACATGGCTGCAGTGGGATGAGGGATGAAGGCTCTCCAAAGAGAGCCAGCATTTGGGAGATGCTGCGTTAGCAGGCAGGAGTTGGGCCTGTCCTGTGGAGGATTTTTGCTCCCTTGTCTTTAAAAAGTAGAAATCCAGCAGAAAGGCAAGGAAACTCTCTAGGGTAGAAGCTGGGCTCTCAGAGGAAGGAAAACAGCAGCACCACAGGACCATCCCCACCAGGCATGCACCAGCGACGACAAAAGAAGCAACAGAAGCACAGGGAGAAATGGCAGGGAGCTGCATCCTACTGCAGGAGGAGAGGAGCTGGGTGGAAGCAGAGGATGCAGAAGGAGTGGAACTAGGAGAGGAAGGGTTAAAAACAGCAATATTATGGAGTTTTTGTGTGTGATTTGACATTCAGTATCAGCCTGCAGACACAGGCGGAGCGTGCCAGGGCCAGCTCAGGCACTGTAAACAAGGTGATGTATTCCTGTGGCATGTGGGCAGCACATGGTGACCCCTGGGGACACCCCATCCCACCCAAAGGGGACCAGCTCAGCCCCTCGTTATGGCAGAGCCTGTTTGCTCCCCACACGCCTCGGTTCTGTAAAGCTTCTGAAAGCCAAGCATCGGGTTGTGCGCTGGATGGGGATAAAGAAGTGTCACTACTGAAAGCGTGGGCCAGGGGTCAGCAAACCCTCCCAGGCCAGGGAGGTGCCATGCCCAGTGCCCAGCTCCAGGGCCTGCTCAGACTTCCTGCTGAAGGCAGCTGGAAACAGAGCTGAAGCACTGCAGGAGCCAGTGCCCACAGCTGGGGATCCCACGGACAGAGAGCTGTGGGCCCTGGCTTGCTCCGCACCTCAGCCTCTGCCCACCCTCCCCACAAGGCCGAGGTGAGGAGGGAGCTCCACGCTCTCTAACCTGAGCTGAGGTTTGTCTGTTGCTGTAAAAATAAAGTGCTCAGGGAAAAAAAAAATAAAATAAATCACACTGGCACAAAAAAGAGTAGTCCCTGTTCCCCGCCCTGACTGAAGGGACAGGGGAAATATGAAAGGTTGGGATTTAAAAAAAATAATAAAATAAAATCTACATCCCTGGGATTCCTCACCTCTCAAAGTGCCTATTTACAGAGGAACTGTTTTGCTCTACCACCTGCCCTAGGAGCCCCAGGGAAGGCACTGGCCCAGCCCGGATCCCACCTTCCAGAGAGCCCAGGGCAGGATCCTGCCACAGCCGGGCGGTGCTGGGCAGCCCCGTCCCCTCACAGACCAAACCCACCACACTTCCCAAGAGGAGAGGGAGGCCGTTCCCAGGAGAGCAGTGCCCGGTGTCCATGCACCCCCAGCTCCGCATCCCGAGGGGACGCTCACTGCACCAGGACAGTGGTGGCATTCACCACGGTGGCCGCGGGCGCCACCAGCTCCACCAGCGCCTCGTACGT